GGGGGGGGTTAGCTGAATCTGGGTGCCCCTTTCATAAAGGGGGCACCCAGATGCCACCCTTCCCCTCGTAAATGAGTAACCTAAGTTGTTACCCCTACTCATTCACCAAACAAACAGTAACATTGTAAATAAACACACATTGTAAATAAACACACAACACAGTTTTCTGACAAGTCCTTTATTTAAAAAAACAAAAAAAAAACGTGTCCATCTATGTATTCCACAGGTCAATCACGTTGTTCAGCGATGTATATCCACGCCAATCACAATGGATGACTCACCGAAAGAAAAAAAATACCCATTACCTGCTGACCTGATGACACTACAAACACAACACAATCTTGACGAACTCTCACCACAAAATGACAGCTCTGCCCCTTTGTTGACATTCGGGTCAGAGCTGTCATTTTGCCCCGAGAGTTTGTCAAGATTTTGTTGTGTTTTTTTTTTTCTCCAAATAAAGGACTATATGTTGTTGTGCGTTTATTTACAAGGTTACGTTTAATTTGGTGAATGAGTAGGGGTAACAACAACTACCCCTTACTCATTCACTAGGGGGGGCAGCATTTATGAAAGGGGGCACCCAGATTCAGATAAGCCCCCCTGCCTGCAAACCCTGGCCTGATGGTTGTGGGGAAGAAGCCCTTGTCCTCATCGACATGGGGGCCAGGTGCTTTTCAGGGGGTCCCCCCTGACAAAGCTCCATCCTCATGTCGAGGGCAACCCTTTCCTGTTCTGCCAGGCTGCTGCTCAGATCAAGGGTCTGGTAAGGGATTTCAGGGGGGGACCTAATGCATTTTTTTTTGCAGTTGGGGATCCCCCTAAAATTCCTACCAGACCCAGAGATGCATCCAAAATTTTGATATTAGAAAATTATGATACATTCGGATTTTTTTTATATCTTTCATTCAGAAATTCAGATGCATCCGAATGTCCGAAAATTCATACGAATTTAAATTCGGAATGAAACATCTAGCTTTTAGCTCTGTTTGCCAGTGTCCAGTCTTCTCGCGGCATCTGCATAATGCTATGTATCTACATACACCTATATCCCTAATATAGTCTAAGAAAAAGATTTTACAGGTAAGGCAAAAAGCCTGTTCTGTTAGCCTTTTTCTTTGAGTCCATTAAGGGGTACAGGTCCCATCTCTCTGTATTTTTGCTGGCCCTGTGTTTTGCTTTCTTACAACACTGAGGCATGCTGAGTAGAAGAGGGGTTATATGGGGTTGGCTTACAACCTTTCTGTTTGCTAGTATCCCAACCTCCTGAAGGTTGCAGTATATAACCTGACCTGTTTCTGAATTTGTGCGCCCCTCAATGGACAAGAAAGAAAAAAAATGTCTCCAGCTTAGAAGTGGACCTTAGGTCCCTAGCCTTAATCATTTAAAAACACTAAAGAAGAATTGCCTAGTACAGAGGTACAGTCGCATAGGGGAGAATCAATTTTCTTAACCTCCAGCCACATGTAGGTAGGACATACAGGTGAAACTCGAATAATTAGAATATCGTGCAAAGTTCATTTATTTCACTAATGCAACTTAAAAGGTGAAACTAATATATGAGATAGACTCATTACATGCAAAGCAAGATAATTCAAGCTGTGATTTGTCATAATTGTGATGATTATGGCTTACAGCTCATGAAAACCACAAGAACCCCAAATCCACAACCTCAAAAAAGTAGATTATTACATGCAATCAATAAAACAAGGATTGTACATAGAACAATATCGGACCTCTGAAAAGTACAAGCATGCATATGTACTCAGTACTTGGTTTGGGCCCCTTTTGCAGAACTTACTGCAATTACTTTTGCATGATATTCTAATTATTCGAGTTTCACCTGTATACTCTCATACATTCTAGGAGTAGCTAGGGTTATCCTGGGCTGGCCTACAGTATTTTTGCTTGCCAGTGTCCAACACCCCTGTAGGTGGCAGTATATCTCGACTTTCTGAATTCCTGTGTCTTTCAATGGACTCCAGAAAAAAAGATTTTATGGCAAGTACAAAAAAAAAAATGTCTCTTTCATTCCATTCTCGGATTTCCTCATGGGTATTAGAGGGAATCTGTCAGGAAAGGACATGAAATTCAGAAAACCACCCTCACGCTGTAGACTGTATTAGGACTCTTACGATTTTGTTACAATTTACCACTGAATTACTGTCACCTTCTTTGCATTACAGATTGACCCTATATTTACAGTATCCAAGTGCACTATTATGGATCCCACTGCTGGTAATAAGAGCCTACTCCAACTTACTGAAATTACTTTTGCACGATATTCTAATTATTCGAGTTTCACCTCTATACACAGTATATGGCCCAGGGAATTTGCAGATCTGAATTTGCATTTACTGTGTGCCATGCAGAGCTCCCATTACAACAGGCAGCTCTTTTAAAAACTCCTATGCCCTCCTCTGTGCTGGGTGCAAGCTTTCATCTGTGAATGTGCCTATACATGTAACTGCTAGCACGTGTGCAAAAATATTGTACATAAGGTGCATCTATGATTGTGTATTAATCTTGCTGTCAATGACAGCTATAGTCATGAAGAAAGTCTAGCAACCAACAATACTGGTTCCTAAGTAATAAACAAAAGCAGTTTCTGCAAAATAATGCATTGTTTGGAATGTATTTCTCTAATTGTTCATTCTTAAGGCTTTGTTCCCATAGCTGCACTTACAACTGTCTGTCAGCAAGGCCCATGGTTTTCAAAGGGTGGTGATAAGATGCTCTTGGAAGATGCTTTTATAGCAAATGTTTGCAATCTGAACTGTAACATTGCCCACAAGAAATATGTCACTCTCATTTAAAGGTAACCTCTCAGGGTAGGAATATGGGAGTGGCCATTGCTGATTTTTGCCTATGCACGTTCTAGGGCTTTCAAACTTATTTTTACCTCACTGCTAATTGAGTCACTTACCCTGAATAAGCATATTAGTAGACATGACACCTGATATGCACATGCTTGTTCCAGGTCAGTGATTTACCAAGTAAGGAATAAAGGATAAGGATAACGGCCTCACACACACAACTTTAAAGACAAGTCAGCCATGGCATCTTCCATGTTTTATCTTGACATTTTCCTTTTAACAAGGGCTGAATGGAGCACACTTTTAAATAATGTGTTTCATAGAGAGCAGACATTTTTTATAGCATTTTCTTTCTTTTATGGTTAACTTCACTGTTTCTGAGTAACAGATCCTTTTTCCTATGCAACAGAAAATTGGGTGCAAACCATAGCCACTGACAAAGTGACTTATCATAAATTGTCTATACAAAGTAAAAAGAAAAAAAAGTCACTCTATCACTTTTATGTACATAAAACAAGAAGTGGAGGTCTTTGCAGTTGTGCACTCTGGGGAATATACTGTGTAAACAGTGCTGGAGCCAATATGCATTGGACATATACTGTTACCAAGAACCTGTGCAATGACCATGTATTACATCCTTGCGGGGACGCTAATTTCAATCACAATGTACTTCCCTTGTCATGCTAACTTCTGGCATACTTTTGCTCCTTGCTCTTCTAGCACCTGCCAACTCACTTTCAGTATCTGATCCATATGTGTCCTCTAGTTGGAAGGGGTTGACACGCAGACGAGGAGGCTTAAAACTGAATGTTGCCAAGCTCTTGGCCCTCCCACGCTTTTCCCAGGGCACATCCTCTTTTTTCTTGCGCAGCTCCTCTTCTTGGGCCACAAAATCTTGCAGCACCGAACGGAAGAGACGTGGGATCTCTGCTCCGTCAGGCTCAAACTCCAACATCAGTCTACGGAACCTACACATTAAACAAAGAAAAAATCCTATTGAGTTTTTTACAGTTATTTCACACCAAATGTATTTATTTTTTTTATTAAATTGATTACATTTGCAATTATTTATGCTAAAAATGGCAGATGTTTTTTGAAAACTGACTTGACTAGTCTATGAAGTCATATGCTATGAAAAGTTTGCACATGTATGTTCTATAGAATAGCTGAACCAGTGGCCTAACATATCTTGTATAGGAGCATTGTATGGGGCCCAACCTGAAAAATAATTGCTTACACTGTGGTCCTGACCCAAAACCTTCGTTGTCATATGTGGATATGTGTCATCTGTGGAGAGATCAGGCTAGTCATTGGAAGAGGCTTCTAATGACCAGCATTGGTACAGGGAATGAATAGAGATTATCTTTGCTCACCACTTTCATGTTATGAGCAAGCTTCCCATGAATATGTGCTCAGTGATGATGATAAAACTATGCTTTACCTAAGGTATAATTTTTCTTTACAGCCCAGTTAAAAAAATTGTACTCCATTAATAACTTCCTGTCAGAGTTAACCTGTTGACCTTCGTCCTAAGTTCCATATGCAGAGCGAATTTTGTCCAGTTCTTGATGCACCAGCTGACATTCACTCCATGAGTGACCCTGTGAGCAGTCTTCCCACCCAAAACCCTTTGATCTGAAAACCTAAGGAGCGGGGAGGAATTCTTGGCAGACTAAGGCACACAAATGAGTATAATTTGTACATAAAACTCAACTCACTCGAATGATCCCCTCTTTTTTATGGGCTTTAAATAATACTATTGTGCAGGTGTTCATAATGTGGTTTAAGCAGCTGATAAGTTAACGTGTATTCAAAGGTCAAAGCTTTTTTTTCTGATCCTTCCTATTATGTTTTTACCGCTGTCTGAGTCTTCGCTGAAGATATCCACCTTCTCTATTTGTCCTGGTATCAATTGACACAGGACAGAAAGTGATGAGAAATTCAAAATGCTATAGCTCTCATTGAAACAGGCGCTTAGGAAAGACCTGTTTCAGTGACGGCTATCCAAGAGGAGTTTCCCCTCACCTCGAAGAGATTTCATTCCTGAAGACTGACACACACATTACAAAATATTCCTGAAAAAGCATATTTATGGTTTGTTACCGTACCTGAGAATGGCAGGACCACACTGCGAGGGGCTTATTTTACAGCATAGGTCTGTAAGCTCCAGCTGGTCACCTGGGGTGATCTCATAGCTTTGGCGTGGAACAGAAGCAAGCCATGTATAGTCCACACCGCTCCTCACTCGACGGTACTCAATAAAACGCTCCCGTTGCTGTTTCTCTGCGCGTTTGAGATGGGATCCTAGTTCTAACATCAAAGTCTCTGTAACCATCTCTGCACTACTCCTTGGTGCCAATTTCGCTGCAGTATTGTCTGAGTCATTCCAGCCGAAGAGTCCTGCCAGGAACATCCTCTGGACCTAGTAAAGGTAATATCACACTTAGGGTACAAGTCATTTAACTAAATAGCACTTTCAAAATATTATATTATTATTATATTGCAGCAGTATTTGTGGTTATTCACTTGTATTGTCTCCCTGAGAGCTGAAATGTCAGCTGACAAGCCTCCCTTCCCAGCTCGGGTATGATAACCAATACTCTCTCCAGGCTGTTGAAGGAAGGAAAAACTGTTAGTTAAAAATCCTTTTGTTTTCTTTCATGTAATCTTGACAAAGCTTGTGTTTTATATAAGTTCTTTAGTATCTGTTATCAGTTACTAAGGGCACAAGATCGGATGAATTTACAGACTGACAGTTCAGTTCTAACAGGGAGAAAATACAAGTAATTAAAAAAAATCACATAATCTCTGCAGGTACAGTATAATAGCAAATGCAGAGTGGGGATTCATAATATTACAGATGCCAATTGATGTCTAGTTTTCTTTAACTCTTTTTCCTATAATACTCCCATAACTTTCAAAACTACTTACTGAAAATGTCCTACCAATTGCCATATTGCATTATTTTGGCATAAAATTTGTCACAGCCCTATGCTGAATAGTGGGTGAGAGAATTAATAGTGTAAATAATATAGTTAGTGTGGCTAAAGTTTACCTTATTCTAATACACATAAACAGTATTAAAAAAAAAAAGAAAAATATGCATATTGTTGATAAAATGCAATTTACTTGAAATTCTCTAGTAAATGATTGTATCAAAAGCAGTGGATGCAAAATTACCTGGGCTCTTCTCAAAGTATTCCCAAAGTATACTCAGTCCTGATATTTCTTCTCTTCAGGGACAACGGTATCAGCCACAAAATGTATCTTTACTTATTCCTTGGCTCCTAATTTTCACCTTTTCCTATGTCTCAGTTTTCAGATACTCTTTGTTTTTTATACACTCCTTCGGTCTACCTTCTGTTCTGACTCCACACTCATCACATTTGTCATTAGACAAGCTCTACTTTTTAAAGCTTTGTGTAATGCTCTGTAATCTGCGGATTCGGCCCACTCAGCATTCTCCTCGCTGGAATACAATGGACTAGTTATATAACAATAGCTCATACGTGCTGTTAAAGCTCAACTCAGGTGTGGGTTATATATTGTATGGTGTAACACTTTGTCTGGTTTTCTCATCCTATGCACTATTAGTTGTTTTTATATCTCTGCTGATTTTATCTTCAGATGAGAAATGAACTAAAGTTAGGGTTTTCACCTTCCAGTATACAGAAATGCTTATAGGCCTGTTATGCTGTGTTGCTAAGCAGGAAACATATAGTGGACCTTGCATTAAAATACAAGTCCACTTCTTGTTTAGAATCTCATGTCCTATGTAAAAATGCTGCATTTCACATACAAAAAATGTGCACACATTAGGTGAATCATAAAAAAAAAACGTACTTACCTTACACCCTGTCTTCTTCCCATGGTGCCTAGTCTGGGCTGTTTCTATATTGAGCTAGCCTGAGATAGTTGCCCCAGGCGGCATCTCTTTTAGGGCTGCCAGGTGTTGGGGGGCCGCCACAGAGCTCTTACCAACCAGTGATGCTCTGGCTTGCATCCCACCCAGCTCCTGGCAACCAGTGACATCAGTGAGCTGGGCAGGAAGCCAAACAGAGCCACTGACAGTGAGTTCCAGCATTCACCTCCACCCTACACCCCCCTACCCCCTTCATGAGTGACCCTCATTAAAGGGATGTCCCGGAATGCACTTTTCACTTAGCAGGGGATGCGCTATGCAGCACCCTCAAGTTGTAGGCCTCGCTGCACCAATAGCTAGCTGCAGTGCCATTGTTCCAGGCCACCACCATCTCCTCCTCAGGGCAATTGTAGCTATGTAAAATGCCAATTCCTATGGCCACCAGGAGACTCTCATCCATGCAAGGGATGGAAAGTGTTTACACTGATTCTCTACCCTTCTAGTGGCTGTACAGTGGCCAAGAAATGCAAGGAAAGGAAGTGTTAGCCTGCTAGCACCTCCAAACTCAGTCTTTAGAATGTACAGTGCCACTAAATCCAGCCAGCTGTGCACCCAATGTAGGAGCAAATACCAGTCGCGCATATTACAAGTTTTTAGCAGGTAGAACCCAGCTACTCCCTGCAAAGTATGGCCAGCAGACATCTCTACTTCTGCGCCTACCCAAATTCAGGATTCTCAGTGGGCAGGGGCTCTGTTAGAATGAGATCCTAGGGTTGTTACTGTGCCTCTCACCCCATTGCACCTAGTAGCGACAGAGGCAGCAGTCTCGCTGCCTATAGGTCACCCTGGCCCTGTAAACTGTCTCTTTGCCCTGCACATGCAAGGTGACAGTGTCTCTGCAAAGGACTCCCTTTTACTCAACTTGCCAGCACTTCTCTGATGCCCCGTTATCCTCTGCAGCCAGCAGGTATGGAGGAGCATGTGAACTTCTCCTTGTGACAGTTGCAGTCACTGGGATTAAATCCACCCTTTTTTTAGTGCTTTTAAAGCTGGCCGTACACCTTAAAATTATCTGCAGCAGGGGCGTAACTAGAAATCACAGGGCCCCATAGCAAAATTTTGTATGGGGCCCTGTGATTCCTAGTTACACCCCTTGAAGAGCCCACATAGCTCACCTGAGCTAACATGAGGGTCTGCAGAGCCCACCATATACTCTCTATGGTGGGCTCTGCAGGGTCACCCTCATGTGGGCTGGTCACACTCCTTACCTGTCCGCCTCTTCTTCCTCCGTCTTCCCTCCTCCGTCGCCGTGCCCGCTCCATCCCTCATCACCGGGCCCGCCTCCTCCTCCGTCACTGGCCCCGCTTCCTCTGATGCTGACCCCCCCGGGCCCCGTCTCCTCCTCTGCGCCACGTCCAGCCTCCTCCACCGCCGCTGCTGACTCTCATTGACTCAGCAGCGGCAATGGAGAAGAACGCAGCGCTGCACAGATCACGGTGATCTGAACAGCGGTGCGTTCAAACCCATAGCGACCCAGGCGGCCCGCACGGCATCAGGGGGGTGTCCTGGGCCCGGACCCCATAGCGGCCGCCTGGGTCGCTATGGCTATTGGTACGCCACTGATCTGCAGATTTTCTGCGGTCAGATGGAAAAGGTACAACAGATTCCTCCATCTACACTTAACTGTGTGGATGGAGGAATCTCCCACTGGGCCAATCTGTTGCACTTTTTCCATCTGACCACAGAAAATCTGCAGATAATTGTGAGGTGTATGGGCACCTTAAGGTCAGCAACAGTAAAATATGGGTGTGGCCATAATAGAGGCACATTTAAAGAAAAACAAAACCCTTAGTGGACAGTGTTTACCTTGTGATCCTGCCAGTTCCCTTCTCTTCCTGAATTATTCTGACCATGTTAGACATAGAAGTAGATCTGTGCTGGCAACGTGGTCAGTTTGCACCTCATAACTTATTCATGAGCTACAGAACACTGTGACGACATGGTCAGCCTTGCTGGGCGGGGGCACACTTTTTGACAGCATACAAGTGATTAGGCAGTTCTACAGCCACTCGATCACTTGTATGTGAAAGCCGGGTGTCAGGTGAAAAAACGGTATCAACATAACGGCTTCTGTAACAGCTGTAAACATGGCAGCAGAGTCAGAAGTTTGTCTTGTGGGAGAAAAGCCCTGGGCGGAGCAGTACTTACCTACATACTCTACCGCCAGCTGCAACATATGGATACCTATGAATTTTTTTAATGTAGACATTGGAGACAAACACACACACACACACACAGTGCTGTGCTGTGAATTATGTGCTTTAAGGGGCAGATTAAATGCTCTTAACACTTGTAAATGTATGTAAATACCAATATATTTAAACGTAGGAGAGCGTGATCTGGGAAACATACAGTTTGGTTTCTACTTCCAGAAAATTTCTGCTGTATTTAGAGACTAGTGTGAATGTTGCCTTCACGTTGAGGGAACTACACACCAGTGGGTGTTTGCAAAGCGTGGCCTTCACACTCAAGTAGCAGCCGTATTAGTTGACTAATGAAGTGATATAAAGCATGGCTTTGCTATTATCGCTGAGATTAGGACTGTATAATCCCTTCTAGTAAAGCAGTTAGAGTCAAAGGGAGGTAAAATCTATTTGTTGTTATTAATTAGATTGGACAGCAGCAGATGAGATTCAGGAACACAGAGCAAGGAATTTGCCACATGGGGAATCTTCAACTGAGCTACCACTGTACATGACCAAAAATCATAGGCTTAGCAGTAAGTGAATATTAATATGACCTTCTGCACGGATTACTAGGACACGTGATAATCACATACATGAGTGGCATTACATGAACATTTTTGATGGATTGAATGTCTCTGCAGATCACCTTCACTTACATTTAAGACAACATCAGTGATTAAATGCAGGACAATAACAGGCAGTATTTTGAATAAACAGTAGCACTATTTATTTATATAGCCCTATTAAATTGGGTTACAAATAGCCTGACTACATTGATATAATAATCAATAATAATTAGAGGTGCACCAAAATGAAACTTTTAAACCAAAACCGAAAATAAAAAAATGTCAGGCCAAAAACGAAAAAAAACCAAAATATTTTTCTAACCTTTTTACATTTTTAAAAATAATTAACTTTATTGTTCTTTTTTTATACACTTTTTTTTATTTTTTTTTATATTTTATTTATTTTAATTTTTTTACTTAACTGTCGGGGGCTCTGGGAAATATCAGGAGTCTAAACAAACCCATGATATTTCCCTTTTTAAAATAGAAAAAGAGATTGAGGACAGAGAGTCCTCAATCTCTTTTTCTGCAGTTCCTGTTATAAATGAACAGGAATCCTCTTTACTGAGTGTTCCTGTTCATTCATAAATTGTGGATATAGTATGAGTTACTAGGTACACAATTATTAATGAACAGGAAGTGATGTAGATCACTTCCTATTCATTCATAACTGGTATATAGTAACTTATACTATGTCCAGTTATTAGCAAACAGTCAGCGATCATTGATTGCTGACTGC